TCTCGTCACTCGTATTCAACACTGTACTGGAGGTTCTAGTAGGCCAACTAGAGAAGAATAAAAAAGTTATCCAGTTTGTAAAGGAAGATGCAAAACTATCCCTATTTTCTGATAACATGATCTTAAATATAGAAAATCCTAAGGAATCCACACACACGCAAATTAAAGCTTGTCTATTAGCAAGGTTTCAGGGCACGAGGTCATCATACAGAAATTGTACACTAGCAATGAAAAATCTAAAAATGAAATTAAAAAGACAGTTTCATTTATAATAGCATCAAAAAGAATAAAATACTTAGGAATAAATTTAGCAAAGGAACTGTAAGAGTTGTTCACTGAAAATTATCAAACATTTTTTGAAGAAATTATAGGCCTAAATAAATGGAAAGATCTCCTGTGTTCATCACTGGAAGACTTACTCTTGTTAACATAACATATTCCCCAAATTAATCTATAGATTCAGCACAACCTCTGTTAAATCCCTTCTGGCTTTTTTTTTTTGCGGATCCTAAAATACGTTTGGAAATGTGAGGAACCCTTAATAGCCAAAACACTATTGAAAAAGAACAAAGTTGGAGGCCCCACAGGTCCCAATTTCAAAACTTAATGCAAAGCAACAGTAAATAAGAGATTGTGGCATTGACATAAGGATAGGTGTATAAATCAGCAGATTAGGATTGATTGTACAGAAATAAACCTCCACATTTAATAAACAAAGGTGCCAAGACAATTCAGTGGAGAAAGAATAACCTTCAACAAATGGTACTGGGCAACTGGATATCCACATGCAAAAGAATGAATGTGATCCCCATCTCATACCATATTCAGGTGACTTGAAATGTATTAAAAACCTAAATGTAAAAGCTAAAACTATAAAACTTTTACAAGAGGACCCGTGTAAATTTTTGTGCCTTGGATTAGGTAACATTTAGTTAGATGTAACACCTAAGGTACAAGCAACAAAAAAAATTGATAAATTGGACTTGAACAAAATCAGATGGCTGGGCATAGTGGCATGCAGCTGTAGTCCCAGCTACTCAGAAGGCTGAGGCTGGAGGATTGTTTGACCCCAGGAATTCAAGGCTGCAGTGAGCTATGATTACACCACTGCACTCCGTCCTGGGCGACAGAGCACGAAGCTGTCGCTAGAAAAGTTTAAAAAAAAAAAAAAAATTTTTTTTTTAAAAATAAAACTTAACCAGCATCAAGAAAAAAAAATATTTTTCAAAGGACACAATCAAGAAAGTATAATGACAACCCACATAATGGGAGAAAATATTTGCAAATTATATATCTGATAAGAGTGGAGTGTCCAGAACGCAATAATAAACGACAACCCAATTTTAAAATGGGCAAATAATATGTATCTCCTGAAAAGTTAGGCAGATGGCCAGTAAGCACACAAGAAGATGCTTAACATCATTAGTCATTAGGGAAATGCTACAGTGAGTTATCATTCCATGCCCACTAAAATAAAATTCATGGAAAATAACTAGTATTGGGGAGGATGTGGAGAAATTGGAGAACTGGTGAAATCGGAACCCTTATACTTTGCTAGTGAGAATATGAAATGGTGCAACCACTTTGGCAGTTCTTTTGAAGGTTAAACATAGAGTTACTATATGACCAATCTATACCACTTCTAGGTATATAGCCATGAGAAATGAAAACATGTTCACACAAAAACTTGTACATGAATATTCTTAGCAAAATTATTCATAATATTCCAAATTGGAAATAGCCCAAATGTCCATCAAATGAAGAACAGATTTTTAAAATATGGTATATGTATCCAGCGGGATGTTATTCAGCCGTAAAAAAGGAATAACATACTGATACATGCTACAGCATGGGGGAACCTTGAGAACATTATGCTAAGTGAAAGAAGCCAAACATAAAAGGCCACGTATCATGTGATCCCATGTATATGAAGTATCCAGAAAAGGCAAGTTTATAGAGGCAGAAAGTAGAGTGTGCTTTCCTACTGCAGGAGAATAGGAAGTGACGACTTAACGGCTCCCAAGTTTCATTTTGAGGTATTGAAAAATATCGTGGAATTTAGTTGTGATAGCTTCACATTTTGTGAATATAGTAAAAAACCACTGAATAGCATCCTTTAAAATAGTAAATTTTATGATGCGTGAATTATACCTCAATTTTAAAAAGTAATTAAAAAATGATTTTAAAACAAAATCATTCAGTCACGTTTGGAGGTTGTTATGGCATGAACTAATTATTCTTAAAATGGTCAATATATGGAAATAATTATTTACTAACTGATGAGCAGGGTAACCAAATAGCAGATGAGGAAAAGCTTTTTTAAAAAAAGTTTTTCTGAGGATGTAAATGATTAATGCAGAAGGCCTATAGAATATCGTGATTTTGCTACACCTAGTGGAAAAGATAATGATCATCACTGATTGCTAATGAGGACACTTTATAAGGGATATCTTAGTCCCTTTGGGCTGTTATAACAAAATACCACAAATTTATGTCTCACAGTTTGGAAGCTGGGAAGTCCAAGATCAGGATGCTGGCAGATTCGGTGTCTGGTGAAGGCCTACTTTCTGATCGTAGATGGCACCTTTTAGCCGTGTCCTCACATGGTGGAAGAAGTGAGGCAGCTCACTGGGGTCTCTTTTATAAGGGCACTAATCCCATTCATGAGAGCTCTACCCCTATGACTTAATTATTTCCCAAAGGCCTCCACCACCTGATGCCTTGGAGGTTAGAATTTCAACATAGGAATTTTGGGGGAACACAAACATTCAGACCATATCAGGATGGGTCAGGCAGATAGGATTGGAACCATCTGGTCCATCTTAATATGACTAAAAAGACATTATGTGTCTCCTGCCATCAGTCTATTGAATCAGAGGAGTTTTGTTTCTGAGGGTGCCCATTCACTTTGTAAAATGGTCCTCTACAGTTTTGTTTAAGGTGTGCATTTCTCAACATCTCCAGGCACTCCTGTTTTAATTTTACTGCATCTGGCAGCCTTTGTCAGAAAGTATGGCTTAGGGCAAGATGGAGTGTGTGTTTCTGTTTTCCTTTTCTTTTTGTGTTTTTGTGTGATTTCTAAGAGGAGAGAAGGTCCCAGATGTCTTTACCAAGTCATCTTAGACCTAAAAGTCTTTGGAAACTACCTCACTAGATCGGGTAGAAGATGATCCAGACCTGAACGAGGGCAGAGATTATATTGATAAAGTAACAGCATGGATTGATTTGTTGTTTGGGGATTAAATTAGGCAGGGCACATAGTAGGGCCTCCATGAATGTTTGATGACTCTTGAATGAACATAAGTGGATCTTTTTCAGTTTTAGGGTTTTATTGAAGCTTTGGTAGGAATTGTGCCAATATATCTGTAAAGTTTACTTCTATGGTTACCATGCATGACTTGAGTCAGTTCTGGGCTTCTAGAGGAGAGGTTACAGACTGGTGGCCAGTAGGACAAACTAGCCCACCACTGTTTTATTTGGCTTTCATGGTGAGTTTTGTGGTTTTTTTTTTTCCTTTAATTTCCTGCCAGCATTTCAAAATAGATTTCACATAAAAACCAGGGTTTCTGGCTTCTCTTCAAAAAACAGAAGATCTGGCAAAACTGAACTTATATTTCCTCATGGCAGCTACTCAGCTGACACTGACTGCTTTAGACAAAAGTACATTGCTGCCTCTGTCGCTCACTGTTCCTGTGGGCGTTTGAGCTTGTGACTCTAAGGGCAGCGCTTTCAGGAAGCTGTTTTCTAAATCTTAACATTGTTACTTTTAGTGATCTTTCTACTTATATTGCTATTTAACACACCATATGGTTGTGTCACTTACTTAGAGTATAAGGTCTGTAATATCAGTAAGTATGTGTTTTCTGTTTCTGGATCTTATCCATGGTGCTGGTATAGGGCCTTACACACTGTGGCAAAGTGAGTACATATACATCTCTACACTGATTTGACAGGGTAATTGAGGAAGCCTGTAGTGCTGAAACAGTCAAGACCCTTTTATGATCTTCCAAAGCATCTTGACACATTGGTTGGGAAAAGATAGGGAAAAGATTATCATCATCTTGGAGAAATAATTTGTGTTTATTCATGATAATTCCTGCCTCTTATCTTTACTAAATTATCAGATAATTTCAGTATTGAAATTACTTGATAAGTTACTTGTATTGTGAAGCTGATAAGCAACATTTTGGATGTTAACTATTTTCTTGGCCATATTAATTACCTGGATTCTTTGAAGTTAGGATTTTTGGATTTTGTTTTTCAAAAGGTTCTCACTTTTTTGCCCAGGCTGGAGCACAGTGGCACAGTCATAGCTTTCTGCAGCCTTAAACTCCTAGGCTTAAGCAATCCTCCTGCCTCAGCCTCCTGACTACGTGGGACTACAGGCATGTGACATGGCTCTAAAAAAAACAAAAACAAAAAAACTCAAAAAAAAAAAATATATATATATATATTTTGAGATGGGGGTCTCACTATATTGCCCAAAGGTCTCAGACTCCTGGCCTCAAGCACTCCTTCCACTTTAGCCTTCCGAGTAGCTGGGATTATAGGTGTAAGTCACTGTGCCTGGTTCTTTGAAGTTAGGTTTTATAAGTATTTTCTCATAGGTAAAAGCATTTCAGAAAATAAGTGGAAAGAGCTGAGGTTTTACTGGGATATTCATTGTCAGGAAGAATATGGAAAAATGAATTTTTAAAAAAGAAGTGTTATTTGATGCTCTAAGTGCAGAGATATAATGAAAACTGTTGATGATAATATTAGAAATATGGGGAAAGGCTGTGTTTGTGCATGTGATTGGGTTGTAGAGCTCAATTTAAGTCATTGAATAGATTACATTAGGTAAAGTTTTTTTAAAAATTATTTTATGAACACAGACATATCTTTTTAGCCTCATACTAGCCAGTTAGGTAATGATTTTGAATCATCTAGTTTGAATATTGTAAATGTTGGTTTCATGCCAAGAATATTTAACCCTTATTGTGTTTTCATTTGTACATTAGGTGCGAAATTCATCCACACTTCTCTTTAGTGCCTTGATCACAAGAATTTTTGGAGTTAAAAGGGCAAAGGATGAACTTTCCAAAACAAATAGGTAAGCTCCATTTAAGGCTGACTTTACTTTTTTTAAACATACAATATTGTCCTGGCCAAAAACAATTTTTGAAATTGTGCCTACTGTTACAGATTCATCTAGATCATAAGACTATAAAAATACTATAATGAATTAGCCTTTGCTGCCAAGTTATAAACCCTTGGGCAAAAATATCAGTAAGTGGACCTTTCAAAGCAACAAAAATTGAGCAAGGTAGCAAGGGGTGAAATGTAGAGCCTGTTTCTCTGTGCAAAAGCTAGTTTTTTGTTTTTTTTTTAAATTGCATCTTCTTTAAGTATTCCTGAAATGTCCTAACTTTACTTGTATATATTATCCTAGCTTGTATAATATCTTTAATTTTATAGGTGGAAGTTTAAATGTTTATGATCCTCTCATTAGAACATCTCTCAGATTACCTTTGCATTAAACTCTGGTACTAAGAGGAACACCTATAGGTGTTAACCACAAGTAATAAACAGTGTTTTTTACTTTTGGTCTTTAGTTTTATGTTTACCCTCTAATTTGTTTTTGTCTTAACAAAACAGCTTTTTTGTTATGCTTGGAAACAAACCTGTGGAACCATTTTGATTTTGGGTAGTTTTTAGATAAAAATGCACAAGATCTGTTTTTAAAGAAGAAAAGCTTTGAATAGTTGTTCTTTAGCACTTAAGAGGATTTAATAGTAATCTAATTGGCTTGCAATTGCTAACACTAGATGTCACTGTTGCTGCACGTTTAATTACTTCCTTAATTTTATTTAGGATCCAGTTTGGCCCAGTGGTCTTTCTCTTGAGGATCTAGAGTTATATTCAAAGCCTTATTCCCTTCTTAACTAAAAAAGTCATTATGCTTCATATTTAAGTTTCAAGCTAATGTTTATTGAAATGCATTTTTGTGTGATGGAACTAAATCTTAGGAATTAAAAAAATAGGAAATCATTTTGTGATGTACTAGTGATAATTCTAATGAAACCTACTGTGGTATTTCCGAATTATCATTTAAATTGCTTCTTGTCACCCTGTAACATTCACCAGATATTTAAAAGTAAGGTAACTGACTGTAAGTATAAATCCCTTGAGCATGTTCAGGCGATACCAGAGAGCTTTTTAATTTTTTTTTTAACTGAGTAATATTTTTTAAATAAATAAAACATTACTCTTTTGGAAGGATGATTATAATTTTTATTTTTTAGCCTGTTCTTAAAGATATTCTTCCTGTCACTAACTTGAAATCACTAATAGTTGTTTCTCCTTAGCTTTGTCTGTTTTGTTAGTAATTCTTCAGTGTGCCATAGTTTAAAACAGTTGGGTCATGTTATAAGGCCTTGATAAACACGGTATAAATAAAATATGATAGGAAGTCATCAAACAAGTTAAAACTGAACTTGAAGAATTTTTTTTTTGTTTTTTATGAAGTGATTATTGAGTGTATGTATAAATATATATAAATTTTACTATGTGTAGAGAAAATGATCAGAAAATGAGAAAACCTCATTTAGGTTGTACTGAGAGTGGACGAATATGGCAGTAACACCATACAATTTTAATTTTTTAAAATTAAATTTTTATTTTAAACTTAAAAAAGTCACACTGATGGAAACCTCCATTATAAATTTATTCCTCTTGGATAGGAAAGGTTACAAAATATATAAGGTTTCTAGAAAAAAGGAAATAGGAATGAGACAGTTAAGTTTTTAAATGTGAAGAATGTTTTTGGTGAGAGGTTTTAATTTTAATAATCTGAAGATCGGTATGGACCATTATGCATACAAGGCTTCTGTTCCCTGTTTAACCCATGAAGATATATTTCTTGGCAGCCCCCATTAGGTTTGCTTTGCAAAACCTTTAGTGTCTTAAATTTGCAGTTGCTTGTGATGGTTCTTTTAGTTGTAGTTTGTTTAATTATGTCACTTTTTGTTGAAATGTTTATATGCCTGTTCCTTACAATATTAACTTCCTGAAGGAAGGACCTTTTTCATCTGTTCTGTGTACGTAATGGGCACTTTAAAAAGGCTAGTAATAATGATGTCTTGGTTGGTTACTTACCGATTGGATAACTAACCTCAGCTGGTGACACACCTCACAAGTCAGTTGTTTCCTTTCACAACCACAGATTGTCCTGCTTGCAATTTGGAAATGTGTGTTCTTGGTCAGAGGGAACTGAACATAAAAAGAACATCTGCTTTTTCCATCTAATGGGAAATAAAGGTCTAACTTGGAGTAAACAAACCTGATTTCTAGGCATTTTGCTGCCACTGGATATGAACTTAATAGGCCCCCTTATCCGCTTTGCACTTCAGTTTCTCCATCTGTATACCAGGAATAATAAGATGTGTGCTGTGTACTGCTAGGGCTATTATGAGGATAAAACAAACTATTAGAAGTTCATTTTCTTTAAAATATTGGAAGTCCTAGGCGATTAGAGATATAGTTTGGTTTTTCTTTCTGTTACCACTTCTATGATTGTACTCATCTGATTGTCTTGCTCTTAAGACTATGCTTTTTGAGGAGAAGGTCAGTGTCTTAACCATTCTTGGGTTCTCAGAGCCTAGCATAGTATCTGGCATATAGAAGGCATACAGGAATAATTGCCTAATGAATAAGTAAATTTTGTTACTAGAGGAGAAATAAGTCTGGTTTCTACTCCTACGTTTGTTACAATACAACCACTATAATCAACGGAGACAAGATAGCCAACCTCTCTGGGGTTTGGTTTTCTTCTCTGTAAAATAAGGTTTGGAATATCCCTGAGGTCTTTTCTGTCTTTAAAATACTAAAGTAAAGCTTTACATAATGTTTCTGGCATTGTAAGTTTGGTAAAATGATGTATTCCCAGTGCCATAGAACAGTCCCTGCTGCATAGTAGAGATAAGAAGCAGAGGAGCAGAGGATCCTTTTTAAGTGTGTAGAGTGTACTTGTAATGACTGAATTTTTACACCCATTAATCTTATTTTAGATGTGTTTTTTGCGTTTTAAAGAATGAGAAAACACAAGTTTCACTCGTGCTTTTAAAATAACGTTATTACATTTTAATTTGTAAAGCTCTTTTCCTTTCTGTTTATTGCTGCCTGACTTGTCTTGACAGAATGAAGAACTGATTCTATGTAAAATCAGAACCAGCAAAGCTCTGCAACCTGTGCAATATGCGTGCTTTCTTAGTCTCCATCTCCATGTGAGTGGGCTCACCTTCATAGCTCCTCATTTCTTATAGGACAGGAGCGAAACTAATATGGCGCTTAGCTCTAGGTTTTTCCCTTTAGCATCTGTGTGTATTAACTGTCACCTGTGAGTCCTAGCTAAATGACACGTCAATATGTAGCAATCGGAAAAGGTTTATTTTTGACTTCTTGGAGTGCCTGCTTTGCCAAAGCTTCATACAGGTGCTTAATGTACAGCGTCATCTAGCTTTTGCACGCTTTCTCTACCTTAAATCAGTGAGCCAATGAGAACTTGAAAGCACTTATGAACTCAGTATTAACATAATAGGGGAGTACGTGAGGAATATAAAACTTGAATCTTACTCAAGGAGTTTACAGTTCAGTTAGGAAGACAAAAATTGTTATATGTGAGTCAGATACAAATAAGAGACACCATATAAAAATCACCTGTACGATGTAATATGAGTAATGAACACATTAGAAATTTATAAACAGGAGAATTGAGTGGAGTATATGTTGGGGGGAAGTAGTATTTTTTACAAGGCTTTGGGAAATGAGTAGATTTGGGGTACATGGAAACAGGCAGATTGAAAGAGGAACAAAATAATAGTCTTGTTTCCTTTGTTAAGTACAATCTCTGTTCTATCTTATTAAAGAGAGCTCATATTCAAATTAATAGCTTAGGATAATTTAGTACAATTTAAGAAGAAAATGTGTTTCTAAAATCATGGGAAGATCCAAGTAAAATTATTTCTAGTGACTATGTTGGGAGATGTTAAATTGTATTTGTTTTATTTTCCAGGGTATAAGTGATAGAGAATTATTTTAGATATTTTTCTTAATATTTTAGTGGTGTGTAGGTCTGGAAGGATCCTTCAAGGGGCATCTAATCCAGTCCAGCATCCTGCTTATAGAGAGATTTTGAAGCAGTTTCCAGACAGACTGGCTTCTCTCCTGTTCTTCATGTTTTCTAGGAAAAGAGATTCCACAAGTTTCTGTGGTTACCCACTCTATTGTTTGGGAAAGAATTGAATTCTCAAAACTAAAATTGAAAGCTGCAGGGCAATTGGGTTTTCATATTTTAGAGAATGTAATTATTAGAATTCAGAATAGCTTATTTGCTTTGAACTACGTGGTAGCTTGTAGCAAGCCCTATTTGGCCAAATTGAAAAACAGAATTTTCTGTTGACTGTGGCCAGGGTAATTTTTTTTTTTTTTTTATCCCGAGATGGAGTCTCACACTGTTGCCCGGGCTGGAGTGCAGTGGCAGGATCCCAACTCACTGCAATCTCCACCTCCCGGGTTCACGTGATTCTCCTACCTCAGCCTCCTGAGTAGCTGGGATTACAGGTGCACTCTACCACACCTGGCTAATTTTTTGCAATTTTTTTTTTTAGTAGAGATGGGGTTTTCACTATGTTGGCCAGACTAGTCTTGAACTCCTGACCTTTTGATCCGCCTGCCTTGGCCTCCCAAAGTGCTGGGATTACAGGCATGTGCAGCCAAGGTAATATTAACATCCTCAAACCCAAACAGTTCTAATTTTCGCCACTGAACAAGCATTTATTATGTTTTTACTCTGGGCCAGGCCCTCTGCTAGTTACTGGGATCCAAAGATAAATCAGAAATACTCTCTGCCCTAGGGGACTCCAAGTCTGATGAAGAATATGGCAGTTATCTGTGGTCGTGGAGTCTCTGTTCAGTTGTATAGAAGGACAGGAGAAGTTGTGAAGGAAGGTAACATTTCTTTAGTGCCTGGGCCATGCCAGTCCCTTTATACATGTCTAACTTAGCCGGGATTGCAGCTCTGCGAGGTAGGTGGTGTCATTCTCGTTTCACAGA